TCTCTGATTTGTACTGGAAGTCTGAGGTGTACAGGGTGAAAAGGAATGGTGAGAGTACAGTCCCCTGTGGTGCTCCAATGTTACTGATCGCCTGGTTTGATGTGCAGTTCTTCAGCCTCACAAACTGTTGTCTGTTTGTCAGGTAGCCTTTAATCCAGGTGATAGTTGAAGCCCCCACCTGTGTCTTCTGGAGTTTCTGGCTAAATACATCAGGCTGGACTGTGTTAAATGCACTGGAGAAATCAAAGAACATGACCCTCACAGTGCTGCCTGCTTTGTCCAGATGACAGTGGGTTGGTTGAAGCAGCTGGATGATGGCATCTTCAACTCCAACTCCATGGCGATAAGCAAACTGCAGCGGGTCCTGATATGTCCTAGTTTGCTCATTCAGGTGGACCAACAGGAGTCTCTCCAGGACCTTCATGATGTGGGATGTCAGGGCAACCGGTCTGTAGTCGTCATTGACTGATGGGCGAGTTTTCTTTGGAACTGGAACAAGGCAGGATGTCTTCCACAGGACTGGAACCTTCTCCTGGGCCAGGCTGAGGTTAAAGAGGTGCTGCAGAATCCCACAGAGCTGCTCTGCACAGGCCTTCAGTACTCTGGGGCTGACACCATCTGGACCTGCAGCCTTGTTCCTGTTCAGTCTCTCCAGCTGCCTCTTCACCTGACTTCTAGAGACAGATGGGTGGGAGGGGGAGGTAACTGGGGCAGCAGCATCTCCTGACTTGGTTGAAGACAGATTTATAGAACCAGAAGAGTCCATGACTGCGTTAGAGGACAAAAGAGCTGGCGTGTGACAGGAAAATGTTGGATCAGAGGAGGATGGGATGTCTGATTGGCTGGGGACAGGCGAGGAGGATGCTGGGTTTGTTCCTGAAATGAACCTATTGAAGAACTTGTTCAGTTCATTGGCTGTGTCCAGGCTGTGTCATTGACTGAACTGGATCAAATTAAGACCAGCCAACAGACTAAAGGAAATTTTAGTCATTTAAGTTGATTGCATGTTTTCTAGTTTTTGTTTGATGACAGTAAACTCTGTTGGTGTCAGGCTAACCAAAGGAAAAAAATCCACAGGACCCATAGGTCTACAGTGGTCATCTTTCAACGTTATCCTGTAAACTTCCTCATATGTGACACTCATCCAGAAGATTACCATGTATCCATTCAGTCTCAAGGAAACCTGGGAATGATGTGATCGGCTACTAAGGTCTTACACCTAGTAGGGGCTGCATGACTTAATTTTTTTAAAGTCGACAGTCAAGTAATGGAAATGTAGTCGCTTTGACTCCATACACCTGAAGCGGGATGGTTCACTGGAGTTTTTGACAATTAAAATTGCGCCCACATTTTCCAAGTCAAACACGTCTCTTTTGACAACGGTAGTTTCTGCCTCTTGCTTCAGCCCTCTCCCCCCTCCCCCTGCGCAGCGGCCGCAAACTCACTGATGCGCCTGCAGCCTCTCGGAGTTCCTGCTGCTCTAAACATTAAAATAATTATTTCATTTTCTGTTCCTCACTTCTGATTACCTTCAGTGGTGTCTGTTTGTTGCAACCACCAGGTACAAAAACTAACTTGTTTTTATTTGACTATTTTTCTGTCCTGTCTGTTTATTATCTTCCTGCATCTCCTCTCAATCCTAAAGAAAAACTGCTACCTGGGTTCATATATATTCACCTTATGAGTTACCTTTGAACTGCAGTTCTAAAAGATCTACCGACCGCAAAAACAGCGGAGTGTGTGCCGGCCACACCTGTGAGGTAAAATCACCGGAGGACAAAACAGGTGATGAGCTCCGCTCCACAGCAGCGAAACGCATCAGGCACAAATAAAAGAACAAAAGACAGAAAACGTCAAAGGAAATGAGCCGACATGAACGATCGCGTGATAAATTAGTTTTTGAGGTGGCGACACCTGATTTGATGATGTTACTGTGGCCGTGCTCAGGACGCAGATGTCTGGAGCGCGTCAACGATCAGAGCTTTGCATGCGCAAGCTGGTTAAGGTTAGGATGGGGGTGAGGGGAAAGTTAAATCGCAAGAGGGTAAGGGTCACAATTCGGTCAAATGTCCGTTTTACGGCAGGCGTCAGATTCTTTGGCACAGCGCGTCACCTCCCAATGCCCATAGGCTCGTCACCTGGTGTCTTTTCCAAGGACTGCATCTTGTTGGTCATTATCACGTGACAGCGACTAGTCTATGAAAGTCATAAAAAGTCACTACAGAGCAGTGAAGTCGACTAGTTGATACAACCCCTAACACCTAGTGACTCTGCCTAAAGCAACAGTTTGTTTTATTATGTAGAGTAAGTTAATATCTTCGGTGTGATGAATGACTTTTGGAAAAACCTTTATTTTAGGAAAAATGTATTAATGCCGACCAGACAGATGACAAGTGGGGTCAGCTCAGGACTGGACTGCCATCCAATCTCAAAAAACATCAAATCAGAAGTTGTTTTTAAACCGGATGTCAGTTTTTCCAGGGTCATTCTAACAATGTTCCAGGGAATTCAACATTTCAGAAAGACTGAGATATTTTCCATTAAAATATTGTATTTCCTAAACAAACAGATTAATTTACGGTTAAATGTAAACTAAGCGGCGATGGCACAGAAGTTAAGTGCTCGCCCCTTAATCAGAAGGTTGCAAGTTCGAGCCCTGCTCAGTCTGTTGTTGTGTCTTTGGGCAAAACACTTAACCCGCCGTGCCAGCTGGAGGTGTTCAGAGGGACCGGTGGCACCAGTGTATGGCAGATTCACCTCTGTCAGTGTGCCTCAGAGCAGCTGTGGCTATAATAAAGCTAAACACCACCAGGGTGTGCATTTATGAGTGAATAACAGATTGTGTTGTAAAGCGCCTTGGGGGGGGGTTCCACGACACTAGAGGGCGCTATATCAAATGCTGGCCATTTACCTTTTAAATTGTTATTATATTGTCCTCCATATTGAGTAAATAACATTTTTAACTATGTTGTCTCAGCAAATAAATAGTTGCTTTAAACAATAATCAAATGCTCCAGAACTTATTAGAATGAAATATACCTGATTATTAAAACAAGCCAATATGTGCTGAAACAGCAGTAGCCCAGAAGGAAGTTGCTGGTGGCATTCTACAAGCAGCAGCAGAGGTAGAACAGGTTGTCCAATAATCAGAAGGTTGCAGGTTCAATTCCGACTCTAACCAGAGAATGTTGCTGTTGTGCCCTTGGGGAAGAAACTTAACCCACCTTACCTGCTGGTGGTGGTCGGAAGAACTGGCGGCGCCTGTGCTCGGCAGGCGTCGCCTCTGTCGGTGCACCCCAAGGCAGCTGTGCCTACAGCGTAGCTCATCCCCACCAGAATCAGTATGTGTGTGTGTGTGTGTGTGTGTGTGTGTGTGTGTGACTGACTGATTGTGTTGTGAAGTCCTTTCGGGATTTGTAAAACCCTAAGAAGGCCATTTACCATAAAATGACCATTTACAGAGTTAACGAAATGTAACTCAGACACCACCGTTTGTTTGATGTAGTGATGAGCTGCTCCTGTAGAAACTAATGAAGGCAGAGGAAACTTCTAAGCAGTTAGATTAAGGTGTTAAAAAGATGAGTGCACAGTGAGGAGATAAGTTTTCATTTTAGTTTCACTAACGGACACTAGAGGGTGCTGAAAGCAAGCCAAACCTGCCTAGTATCATTTTAATTTCACATTGCTTTTAAGCTGTTGTCCTGGAGACTTAACATCTCACCTGGTAAGCATTTTCATTATGGCCTCAGCCCCCTTGTAGATCCATCACCACTCTGAACGCTAATATGTGTCTTCACGTGGCATGGTTGCCCTGTAGGATTATGTAAATACATGTATTGAGTTTGACCACAATGAACAATTTATTATGACTATTTCCTCAAATGCTAAAAAAATAAAAGAACATTTAAATGACCAGTGGCGGTTTTACCATTATGCATAGGCTGGCGGCCACCTGGGGCCCCTTTATGTTGGGGGGCCCCCTAGCCCTGACTGTAGGCACCCCTCTGTTAACTCATTCACTGCCACTGATGACTAAAGTCATCATTTGCATTTTTTTTTACTGTGTGGGCGTCGGAACGAGCCCCCGCACCGTGAGAACAAACATCTCAGCTCTAAAGCCGATCTTCATCCTCGTACGTCACATGTCACATTATCAGGAAGCAGAAAATCCATGTGTTAGGAGATCGTTTTGGGCCGCTGCTGTAGAAAATAGTGAGTCACAAACTGGAAATGCTTCTGCCGATCACAATTCAACAACGAGTTATGAGAGAATGGAAAACGCTCAAAACGCGCGGATTCTTCCTGATGTAAGAGATGAGTCTCTTTGTTTTGGGTTGTTTTGGCGTCAACATCATCCTAGCGTGCAACGTTCTGTGACTCTTAAAAAAAGCAGTAAAAACGGTGAGAAACGCTGGCCGCGAAGGGCTTTACCGATCAGGAAACGGCTGGCAGCGAATTAGTTAATGCCACAATGGACTATTCCTTTAAGACGCTGATGCACAAACAGGAAGTGATTGGTAGTCATTCCAATCCAATCTAGTTGGTGGGAGTAATGCACCAAATTGTTGTGTGCCAAGTGCCATAAGACCACAAATAAGAAGAGAAAGCAGAAAAAGAAGAGAGGTGGAAGAGTTTGTAACAAGTTCGAAGCAATAGTCAAAAAATTATGAAATGGAGTTATCCTAGTGGCTCCAATAAGAGAAAGAAGCAGCTTGCTTCAAAAAAACTTTAATCTTCACTTTCGACAATGATGTCCTTTTTCTATGTAAACATCAAAAGGAATCATAAAGAAAAGACAATGGAAAATGTTTAACAGGAGGAAAAAAATAGGCCCAAATGGAAAATAGAAGAAAAAAAAGAAAGGCAAAATACAGGAGCACTGACAGGAAGAATAAGGCAGAGCAAATATTGAAGGCACTCAAATGAGAGAGAGAGAGAGAGAGAGAGAGAGAGAGAGAGAGAGAGAGAGAGAGAGAGAGAGAGAGAGAGAGAGAGAGAGAGAGAGAGAGAGAGAGAGAGAGGAAAAAGGAGAACTAATAAAAAGTGAAAATAACTCATGTCAGAAGAGGGAAGAGTTTCGCAAAGATAAGATTGTTGAATATTTAGTGTAAGGGGGCCCCATGTCTGTGTTCGCCTTGGTCCCCCAAATTGCTAAATCCGCCACTGAAAATGACCAAAGTCAACTGGATGTTTGAAGCAGAGAAAGCGAATTAAGCTTCCACTGATGCCTGGTTCTCTCCATCCACCCATGAGACTGAGGAGATCTCCCTTCTCCTCTCCTCCCCCTCATCCTCCGTTGACGTCCGTGACTGTGTCACCCGCCTCGCCGCCGGTTTCCAGGCAGTTTTCTGCTCTGGTCTCGTGTTCATTCTAGGCTCTGCGTTTACATCCGATTGTGTCTCAGCGGGGCATTTCGGTAGCTTTTTGTTTAGTTTCCTTTCACTAAACATTTTGTTTTTTATGATCGGAAACTCCTTTTTGCGCCTTTGTGACGCTCTGAGGAGTTCTGTGCGTCAGAGCATCCCGCACCTTTCTGCGCATTGAATCCGTCCTCTGGCGGCTGCTTCGGGACCGGACTTTATTCCCCACCGCCCGAACAACTTGTGATTATCGTGACTCCTGATTGTTTCACTTAAAAACTTGGAAGCCACCAGGGAAACGGCTTAGATGAACGCTCCTCCGCTGATCCGGGCGCCCAGCCCGCTTCCGTTTATAGGGGGGGCAAACAGCCCCAACACCGAGGGAGGAGGTGGAGGCGTGATCTCCTTCCAAATCCAGATAGGAATGAGCCGGGAGCCTGTGCTGTTGGATGCTGGAGAGCTCAGCCTGGGTCAAGTCCGGGAGGTGGCGTGTTCCATCATACACCAGAAGGTAAATGAGTTCAGATGTGCACCCATGGCCCCCAAATCTGGATCCAAATCAGGCCAGACTACTTTCAGGGTTCAGCGGTATAGCATGCCATTCCACCATGAGCGCGTTTAAAACAGAACAAGGTAACATGTTTCCAGGCTTCTCAAGAGCAGTGTCTGATCCTGGTTTGTGAGAGAGCATGGGAGGATGTTGGCATGTGTGACTCACAACTAAACCAGGAAACGGATGCATGAGTAGCCTCTGACTCATGGACCGGTGGGGTTTAGAGAAAGTCTTGGCTTGTAAAACATGTCAGCAGTCAGATGAAGCTGCCAGTGTTAGAATATATGAATAGATACGTAAAATAGACGGAGAACCAGGGGAAGTTCCTCCATTCTGTAGATATTTAGGAAACTTTGAACTAATTGGCATAATAAACTGAACTCAATTGGAATATTTCATTTTGTGAAGAGGCACTCATGTCCAGATTGGGCACTAAATAAATAAACTGAACTGAACTGAGGATGGAAACAAGTTTCACTAGAATATGACGTTTTTAGACATTTATTTTATGACTTTGAAGTTTTATTCTGTGAAATTATATATTTTTTTCTTCACCTAAAATATAACAGCAACTCTTATTTGTAAATATTCAACATCAGAAATTCATCTTCAAAATTTACCAACAAAAATTCTATAACTGAGGTGACTTTCTGGTGGCTCAAGCCAAATAAATCTCTCTTGATTGAGTTGGGTGACTGTTAGCCAATCAAATCATGTGTCTCTGATCACCTGACATTAGTGAGGTGTGGACTCCATCAAGTAACCATTCTTTATGGTTAGGGTCATCAGGAGGTCACCTTATTGTTGTTTTACTTTTGTTGTTGAATTTTTCGTCGTCGTCGTCTTCCTCCGCTTATCCGGGTCCGGGTCACGGGGGCAGCATCCCAACTAGGGAGCTCCAGACCGTCCTCTCCCCGGCCACCTCCACCAGCTCCTCCGGCAGGACCCCAAGGCGTTCCCGGACCAGATTGGAGATGTAACCTCTCCAACGTGTCCTGGGTCGACCCGGGGGCCTCCTGCCGGCAGGACATGCCCGAAACACCTCCCCAGGACGGCGTCCAGGAGGCATCCTGACCAGATGCCCAAACCACCTCAACTGACTCCTTTTGATCCGGAGGATTTTGAAAACAAATGATCTTAAACATTGTTTTCATGTTTTCAACAACATTCTAACATAGTAAATATTTCGTGGAGATAAAAAAAATGAAGAAAAATAAAAAAAATAGTGATTCTCTCACTTTTGTCTAAAATCCTACATCAATAACACGTTTCGGACTGGTTTTGACAAAGCGCCGCTCTTCCCTGGGTCCTCCACTCATCACACACTCACGTATTTAGCAACAGAACACCACTAGTGTGAGCGGATTACTGCTCAATAACAACAGAGAAGAAGCAGCCGGCTGCTACCACTTCAACTTTAGGACAAACTACCAGAGTCTCAAAAAGATAAACACAGTTTGAAGTCACGACAACAAAAGACGTTTGGTTCTAAAAAAAAAAAAACGGCAGACTGGTGTTTAGCGCTATCTCCTTTTCTACTGGTAAGGTAGGTTTCCAGTCTCCGCAGAAGCATCTCAGGGAACATACCTGGGAGGAGGGGAGTGTTCCCTACCATGTTTGCATTCAAAACAGCTTGTTCTGTAGAGTCACTATTGCAGATAACGTGTTTTCACCATAAATCTCTGGAAATATCCATCGAAATGTTGTTGAAAATAAAATAAACGATGCCCGTTTGTGGAAAAATATTGGCAGCTTCGTAACATGTAAAAAAAAAATTGCGTCTAAAATACATGAAAGTGGGTGTAAGTCTCTGATCAATGTTCATTTCTACAGGAGCCCATGAGGATAAAACACATTTACTGATTTGTAACAAGCGGTAACAAAACGTAACGTATGAGTACAAAAAGAACTCATTCAAAAACTGCACTCCCAGGGATTTTTGACCCTAATGACCATCCGTTGGTAAAGTCTAAAGCTGGGCATACACTGTGCGACTTTTTCACTTTTTTGAGCCAATTTTCCACTCGTGCGAGAATCCACGAGATCGGGGCGAGTTTTCCGCCGAGCGGTCGTGTAGTGTACAGGGGGTTACGAGAGGCGATTAACACCACGTGACCAGCTGCCGATCAGCAATCGTGAGGTCGCACGGACTTCTGGCGTGTTTAATATTTCGCTCGTCCCTTGTGAGGGTATCGCACTGTTGAAGCGGCGCTGCGAGCAGCTGCGAGCAGCTACGATCCAAAAAGTATCAGAACCGCTCACGGCGCATGCACAATCCTGCATCAACGCCGCTCGCTATTTCCCTAATAACACACGTTGTTCGTTTTAATTTCTACACGTTTTTTTACTCACAAATATTGTCAAGAAAGCGTGTTTGTCGTGTTCATGTCAAATTAAACTGATCACTAAACACAGATTCACTTTCTTTATTTCATTTTCCTCATCCAACCCCCATAAATCCCTGTGTGTCCTCCTGCAGCACTCCCGAAGGACAACAGGCAAGACAAAAAAGTCTGACGTGTTGAGTAAAAACTGCTATTTTTAGCTTATTTTTAGGGCCGACGTGTTGCTACCAGACGTACAGTGTGAGCAGTCAGGTTGCATGCGAGAACTGGGTCGTGCAGTGTGAGCACATGACTCGTGAGATCTGCTCTGCGAGGAAGTCGTACAGTTTGAGCTGAAGCTGAACGCTGCGAGTGAAAAAGTCACACAGTGTACGCCCGGCTTAACGTGAACACAAAAACAATGCCTACCTGCAGTGATTAAGCATGTACAAACACACTCTGTCACTTTAAGTGAACAAAACTGAAAATACATAATTTTACAGAACAAAAGTTCACGGGCTAAAAACAATCATATCCTGGTGACACTGTATTGCTTCCCTATCGTGGAGTTTGGGAGAGATAAGTGGAACTTTTCTGAGGTGAGGCTCATTGTTTATCACTACAGAGACACATGGATGAGCACATTAATAAACAACTTGTTTAGTCACTAGACCTCCTGTGTTGATGTTCTGCAGAAATACATTTTAAAAATGCAAAAAAGTAATTTCTGATTTCCTGCTCAACTATATGTTCCATTTTTAACATCAATAAAACTTCATGTTTGGAGCTTTTTTGTAAAGAATAATTTGCATATTTGCTTTCCATTTTCTGGATCTGATACTCATTCTTTCTCTACAAAATACATGTGAGTTTATCATCAGCAACAAGAACAGGATCTGGGTAACTCTTCAGTTATGTTTTCTAGAGTTATGGTGCATTTGATTTGTCCCCGGAACACAGAAATCTCGACTTCCGAGTAGGAAAAATGAAAGGAAATGCCCCCCAAAGTTGGACCTTCCAGTCGTAAAACACGGAAGAATTTCAGAACTCCAACCTTGACATTCAAAATGGCAGCTCTCCGTATAAACAACAGTAAGTTTTGGTTGAACTGTGTGTATTTTACAAGACACACTTTAAGAGTGCGTTTAAAATCAATGTTACATGTAGTGCTTTCAGCTAAAAGCTTCTCTCTTCCAATATTATTTGAAGGAGAGCTTTATATGTGTTTATTGGACAGCTGTGTTTGTTGAGAGCTAACAAAACAGTTTTTGAGTGCATCGCCATATTGGAATTTCAACCTTTCCGACTACGGCAACCAGAATGTGGTTAACTCTGTTGTGATGTCATTTCCAGTTGCCACTTCTGAAATTAACTGAATGCACCATTACTCTAGTTATCTATCCATCCATCTATTTTCATCCGCTTATCCGGAGTCGGGTCGCGGGGGCAGTAGCCTAAGTTGAGGGGCCCAGACTTGCCCAGACTTCCCTCTCCCCAGCCAGCTCCTCCAGGGAAATCCTAAGGCATTCCCTGACCAGGTGAGAGACACAGTCCCTCCAACGTGTCCTGGGTCTACCTTTAGGCCTCTTCCCGGTTGGACGTACCCGGAAAACCTCACCAGGGAGGTGACCAGGAGACATCCTGACCAGATGCCCGAGCCACCTCAACTGGCTCCTCTCGATGTGGAGGAGCAGCGAATCTACTCCAAGCTTCTCACCCTATCTCTAATGGAGAGCCCAGCCACTCTGAGGAGAAAACTAATTTCAGCCTCTTGTATCGATCTTGTTCTTTGGGTCACTTCCCAAAGCTCACGACCATAGGTGAGGGTAGAAACGTAGATCGACCGATAAATCGTGAGCTTCACTTTCGGACTCAGCTATCTCTTCACCATGACAGACCGGTACAACGCCCGCATCACTGCAGACGCAGCACCAATCCACCTATCAATCTCATGCTTGAGTTTTCCCTCACTCGTGAACAAGACCCAGAGATACTTAAACTCCTCCACTTGGGGCAGGACCTCATCCCTGACCAGGAGAAGGTATTCTACCCTTTTCCGAATCAAGATCATGGTCTCAGATTTAGAGGAGCTGATTCTCATCCCAGCTGCTTCACACTTGGCTGCAAACCGCTCCAGCAAAAGCTGAAGATCACGTTCTGATGGAGCCAACAGGACCACATCATCTGCAAAAAGCAGAGACCTGATCCTCAGGCCACCAAAATGGATGTCCTCAACACCTTGGCTGTGCCTAGAAATCCTGTCCATAAAAGTTATGAACAGAATCGGGGCAGCCTTGGCGGAGTACAATTCTCAACTGGGAATGAGCCCGACTTACTACCGGCAATTCAGACCAAGCTCTGACACCAGTCATACAGGGACCTAACAGCCCATATCAGAGGGCCTGGTACTCCATTCTCCCAGAGTACCCCCCACAGGGCCCCCCGAGGGACGCGGTCAAACGCCTTCTCCAAATCCACAAAACACATGTAGATTGGTTGGACAAATTCCCATGCACCCTCCAGGATCCCCCTAAGGGTATAGAGCTGGTCCAGTGTTCCACGGCCAGCACGAAAACCACATTGCTCCTCCTGAATCTGAGGTTCAACAATCTGATGGACCCTCCTCTCTAGAAC